TTTCAGGGCCTGATGGTTTTAAGTGGAATTATGATCAGTTCCTTACTAGCATTTTGCTAAACACCAGTGATGATCCTGGCATTTGCTGCATATAGAAACAACTGTGCTGACCTCGTTCCCCTCTATGGATCTCAGGACTTGCGGAGGAGAGAAGCAGAGAGGAAGGAGGGGGAGTAGGGACAGGGTCTTCATTGTCCCCTTTTGTAACTGAAGGGACAGTAGCCTCTGAAAACCAACATTTTCTGTCCCCTTGCTCCCTGAAAAGGAGGATAGGTGGTAAGAATGGCCTCTGTCAGTGTGGAGAGCAAAACCATTGAACTCCCACTTGGTTGATCCCAATGTCAACAGGACTTGAGTAACTGGGTGCATAATAATCACGTGAAAGGAAAAATAAAACCGGCAAGAATGGGTGAAAAATACAAAGTCCACGGTCCATTTTCAGAATATAGTATTTAGTGGGATGATATCAAACTAAAAAGCTTCTTTGCAGCAAAGGAAACAAAAATGTGGAGAAAAAGATTCACTCAAACATTGCTAGTGGGACTGAAAATTGGTACAACCACTCTGGAAAGCTGTACGGAGATTCCTCAGAAAACTTGGGATGGAACTGTTGTAGGGACAGATGAGGCAGGGCACTAAGATAGCAGGAAACAGTTTTATTTGACTGCAGCCAGGTTCAGAGGGCAGTGCTTTCACTCTAATCAATCATTCCCCTGAACCCCGAGTTAAGGGAGTTTCAGAACTTTATACCCAGCATGTAAGGGGAGGGGCTCAGAAGTTCACAGTCTGCAGAAGTTCACATAAAAGCAGTTTCTTCTTTCTCTGTTCTTGGCAAGTTAACCCTTCAAGGGCAACACCTGAGTAGGGAGAGCTTCTTCTCCCCTTTCTTTCCTTCCCTCCCAGCTGTTACGATGGAGCCCAATTGATAATTTCTCTTAGAAATGTTGCCATCCCTGTGAAGCCCAGGTCAAGGCCAGAGGCCTTGTTAAAGGATCTTTTTTTTTTTTTTTTTAAATCACATTTTGCATTTGCAAACACACTTCTACAAACTACTATACTGGACAAATTTTTTGAAAAACTAGTAAAAGGATGTTCAGCACTTGGAGTGCTGATTTCTTCCAGGCCAGTGGCCAAGTAAAATAAAGCAACACGAAAATAGGAAGTTTACCTACATTGAACTCTTTTGCAGAGACTCTTTTGCTGATACTCCTAAACTCAATTATGGTGAAGATATCTGGAAAAGCTTAGTTAAGATTTTCTGTAGGGGCTGGGGATATAGCTCAATTGGTAGAGTGCTTGCCTTGCATGCACAAGGCCATGGGTTCAATCCCCAGCACCCAAAAAAAAAAAGATTTTCTGTGGAGGAGGAGGTGCCACTACAGAACCACCCAGTTACCCCCAAGTGTGCTTGCTTACCAGGCTTTGGTGGTAGTGCACCCTTCTTTTGCAGAAGGAAATCTTGCATTGCTGAACTACTTCTGAGTACATGTCTGTTTTCTTGTGACACCCCTGTATTTTTTTAAATATTTTATTTCTTTTTAGTTGTAATTGGACACGATATCTTTATTTTGTTTATTTTTATGTGGTGCTGAGGATTGAACTCAGGTCCTCATACATGCTAGGCGAGCGCTCTACTGCTGAGCCACAATCCTACCCCCCCCATATTTTTTTTAATTGTTGCTGCAGTCTGGCTGGGCATAAATAACCGAGCTGCCAAAAAGCCTTGTAGGTTCAAACAGCAACTCTTTATTCCCGAACTCTCACTGGCACTCTACACACACTTCCCGAGAACACACTCCTTCCACCGGGCTCCACGTGCGCAAATTCTCCCGGAACCTGCCCCTCCCCAACTCCAAAGTAGCTAGCGGGTGCCCCAGGCAGCAGGATCTGCCCTAATCCCAGAGCCGCCCTATTTCCACCCCCCCCAGGAGCCGCCCTAATCCCAGAGCAGGGTCACCTTTCAACCATTCCCTCTAGCAAAATGCCAGGCCTCATTCCCAGTAAACTGTGGCTCTCAACAAATTGTCAATGGACCTTTATTTTATTTATTTATATGTGTTGCTGAGAATCGAACCCAGTGCCTCACACATGCTAGACAAGCACTCTGCCGCTGGGCCACAACCCCAGCCCCAGACACCCCCAGTATTTCTAACAAATGTACTTTAAGTTTTTAAAACACTGCTATTTTCTCTTGGGATGCTGAAAGACCCAGAATTCTCTGGGTGTCACTATATAAATAACTTGGTGGGCAGGGGCATGATAATTGTGTTTAGCACAACAGCAAGTCAAGTGAGAAGAAGAGGAGAAAAAAAAATTTTCCCCTATTAGAGAAGACATTCTGGTTTAATAAAACTGTAAAAATAGGCTGCCTCTCCTCTGATTTAGGGAACAATCAGTTCCCCACTCTGAAGGCTGTGAGCCCTGTTATCAGAAGGAAAGTTCATTTTATAAAATCTCTCATTTTGATGACTTCCTCCTTTTATTTAATTTCTTGAATTAGATTCATCTCAGCTCAGATGGAAGCACCCCGAAAACGTCTGGCCATGACATTGACTAACCAGCAGCCCACTGTTCTCTTGGGGCTTTGAGGATTCCACAATGTTAATGGTCACCTGGTCGGAAGCCCCACAGGATAGAGCTGTCATTAAAACTAACTGTGGGGGGCTGGGGATGTGGCTCAAGCGGTAGCACGCTCGCCTGGCATGTGTGCAGCCCGGGTTCGATCTTCAGCACCACATACAAACAAAGATGTGTCCGCCGAAAACTAAAAAATAAATAAATAAATATTAAAAATTTAAAAAAAACAAAACTAACTGTGGGCCAGGCATGATGGCACATGCCCGTAATCCCAGCAGCTCAGGAGACTGAGACAGGAGGATCATGAGTTCAAAGCCAGCCTCAGCAAAACTGAGGTGTTAAGGAATTCAGTGAGACCCTGTTTCTAAATAAAATACAAAACAGGTCTGGGGGCGCTGGGGTTGTGGCTCAGTGGTAGACTACTTACCTTGCACGTGTGAGGCACTGGGTTAGATCCTCAGCACCACATAAAAATAAATAAAATAAAGGTATTGTGTTCATCTACAACTAAAAAAAAAGATAAAATAAAAAATTTAAAAAGGGCTAGGGATGTGGGTCAGTGGTTGAGTGCCCCTGAGTTCAATTCTGGTACCCAAAAAAAAAAAAAAATCAAGAAAGTTAAAAGATCATTTGGTTTTTTATGCTGTGTTGGTGGGAATGGAACACGCTGTAGCCAATGTGGAAAAGAGGATTGAACCCAGTGCCTCACATGAGCCACTGAGCCACAACTCCAGCCCTCCAGCCCCTCTTTTTTTTTTTTTTTTTTGTACTGGGGATTGAACTCAGGAGTATTTGACTACTGATCCACATCCTCAGCTGTTGAGGGCCACAGCTGAGTCAGGATGACACATGGCATATTGCCAGAAGGGAGTGGTTGAGAGGTGATGCCAGCGAGCCATTGAGATGATGATGGTTATGTTAAGCTGTGTATTCAATTTTATATTTGACCTTTACTGTCCGGCAATAGGGAGGCTCTTGCTGTCTCCAGCTCCCACCCGCCAGCTACTTTAGAGTTCTGGTGGAGTTCTCACGGGGTTCTGGGGAGAGTGCCAGCTGACCCCGGTGGAGGGTGAGAGTGTTCCTGGGGAGCGTGTGTGGTGTGCTGGTGGAGTTCGGCAATAAAGAGTTGCTGTTTTGAACCTACAAGTGCTTCCTGGTGGCTCGGTTATTTGTGCCCAGCCAGACTGCGGCACTCAGCTCTATTTTGTATTTTATTTAGAGACAGGGTCTGAGTTGCTTTGTGCTTTGCAGTTGCTGAGGCTGGCTTTGAACTTTAGATTCTCCTGTCTCAGCCTCCCAAGCTGCTGGGATTACAGTCATGTGCCACTGCGCCTGGCTAACCATACATTCTTACAGATTTTATGACCAGGAAAAATTATTCTTATCTCCCAGGATTTGGGGATCTGGTCTGTGAAGAGTCACAAATGTCTCCCCCTTCAGGATAAGTTGGGTCCCTCTTATCAACATTATTTCAGGCCTGCATTTCTTCTGCAGATAACAGGTAATTTGGTGAGAAATGTGACATATTCTGTCCATTTAAGCCAGGGAGGGCTGCAGGTAAATTGCATCTTGGAAAGGAAAACATGTGGGGGTCAACCCAGTGGGCCCATTTTATAGAATTAGTCCCTTAAACTTGTGTTCTCACCATTCTCATCTGTCTGTACCTTATCAATATATAGAGAGGACTTTATATTATATGAAATGTGCCAATCTGATAAGAACAAATACTGTAATCCCTTTATATGAAGTACTCACAGGTCTAATTTTTTTTTTTTGAAGTGCTGGGGATTGAACTCAGGGGTACTAGACCACTGAGCCACATCCCCAGCCCTATTTTGTGTTTTATTTAGAGACAAAGTCTCACTGAGTTGCTTAGTGCCTCATTGTTGCTGAGGCTGGCTTTGAACTCCCAATCCTCCGTGTGCCACCACTGGCCCCAGAGTCTGATTCAGAGTCAGAAAGAAACACTGTGGTTTCAAAAGATTGAGTCTCAGAGTGCCAAATAATTTCTTTGGGCCGCGTGGTGTCCTAAGGTTTGAACCCAAGGCCTCTGGCATGCTAAGCAAGCTCTCCTATTACTGAGCCGAATCCCCCAGTTCAGAAATGGAGAGTTACTTAAAATAAGTAATAAGTTTCAGTTTGGGAAGATGAAGAGTTCTGGAAATCGGTTTTGCAATATTTAAATATATTTAACCCCAGAGAAGACACTTAAAAATGTCCTGAGGACAGGGGTCAGGGGTTGGGCGGGGCTCAGTGGTAAACAATTTGCTTAGCCTGAGGGCCCAGGGCTACACCCCGGGCACCCCACCACCCCACCACACCCCAGCCTAAGCCAACTACGCGACCTCATTCCCGGCTTTCAGCCACAGTCTAGGGGGCGTGGCCACGGAGGATGCCCACTCAGTATTGGGGCTGGAAAGCCGTGCGGGGCGGCTGCGCATGCGCCGGCGCACTCAGCTATAGGTTCTGGCCACGTCCGGAATTTTCAGTTGGTTTCTGGGTTGTGCTCCTTTGTCGCGCTGTGACCTTACAGCTATTGAAGGACCCGAAGGAAGACTTTGGGAGACCCCAAAGGCGGGAAAATAGAAATGGTGAGTGCTGAGTTGGGGGCCCCGAGTCGAGGGAAGACGGAGGTTGGAACGCCCCGAACCGGCCTGGGGGCGACGCCGCCTCCGCACGCCGGCTCCCGAGCCGGGCCGAGTCCGCCGCGGCGCCGCTCCCCGCGCGGTGACCGCCGGCCCGGGGCCCTCGCCGGGCAGCTCCGCCCGCGGCCCCGCGGCTCCCGACTGTGCCGTGACGGAATGGGGTCCTGTGTCTGGAAACTCATCGGGGTCACAACTGAAGTGACCGAGGCGAGCGTTTTCTCGCTCCGGGATGGATGCCTGCGGAGGGGGCGTTTCTTTGCCGCCCGGGGGAAGAAAACGCGTCGTCCCCACAGGCTTGCCCCGGGCCCGCCGCCCCAGGGAGGCCCCAGCCTAGGGCTCTCAAGTTTGGGGACGACGTCCTTTACCTCTGCATTGGAATTGTGGGGAAGCAGGACCCTGTCGCAAGTCAGAAGTTTTGCATCTCTTTCCTTGGATCCACCCCTTAATTCTAGTTTTCCTTTGCACTTGGAAGTTTTTATTCAGTTGCGTGATTGTGTGCAATGTTTAGTTTTGTGTGGGAGGAGATAAACCGATTGCGAGATGAGATGCCAGAAAGGGAGAAAATTCTGAAGCCGAAACTTTTTTTTTTTTTAAGGAGAGAGAACCTCAAGATGTGAGATCAAGCTGGGGAATCTAGTTGAGTGGTAGATGGTTTGCCTAGAGAGGCTCAAGACCCTTATGTGAGATCAGGGTACCAGGGTATTTAAGTTCTCCCCCCACCTTCCAGTCCGTGGCACTTCAAAAAAAGTTAAATCACTCTTTTTTTTTTTTGCATGTGAATGTCTGTAGAGGATTTTCAAAATTTAAAAAGTACACTATTCATAAGAGGATTGAATCCCCTAACTCCTTTTATATGCAGTGTTGGAAATCGAATACAGAACCTCAGACATACTGCATTCCTGTTTTTTTTTTTTTTTAAAGAGAGAGTGAAAGAGGGGGAGAGAGAGAGAGAATTTTAATATTTTATTTTTTTAATTATCGGCGGACACAACATCTTGGTTTGTATGTGGTGCTGAGGACCGAACCCGGGCCGCACGCATGCCAGGCGAGCGCGCTACCGCTTGAGCCACATCCCCAGCCCTGCATTCCTGCATTCCTGTTTTGATTAATTTATTTTTCTAGGTGCTACTGATGTAGGGGGGTGGCTGGCCCATGGTAGGCAACTGCTGTACCACAGAGTTCTGTCCCCAGCTCTGAACTACTGTTTTAAGTGATATGATGAAATCTACTAAACTCAATGTATATCTCTGAGAAGTCTAGTTTATTTAAAGGGTTGATTTCCAAGCCCTAATGTGTACTATGCTACCTGTTCCTGATAGTATCATTCAGTGAAAGGAAAAACAATGATGCTCTTTTTGATTTCAGTTAGAAAGAAACTTGATTTGTGTGTGTGTGTGTGTGTGTGTGTGTGTGTGTAAGCCTGTTTGTGGTATTGGGGATTGAACCCAGGGCCTTGCATGTGCTAGGTAAGTGCTCTACCACTGACTTGATATCCCCAGTCCTTTTTTATTTTGATACAGGATCTTGCTAAGTTGCTCAGTTTAGCCTCAAACTTTCTTTCCTCCTGCCTCAGCCTCCTGAGTGGCTGGCATTGCAGGTGTGTGCCAGTGTATTTGGGAAAACTTGAAATGTTTGCAGTTCCATTACTTTTTTTTTTTTTTGGTACTGGAGATTGAACCCAGAGGCACTTTACCATTGAGCCACATCCCCAGCCCTTCTTATTTTGAGACAGTGTTTCACTAAGTTGCTTAGGGCCTCCATAAATTACTGAGACTGGGCTGGAACTTGCAGTCCTTCTGTTTCAGCCTCCTGAGTTGTTGGGAATACCGTTGTGTGCCACTGCTTCCAGCCTGTAACGCTTCTAAAGATTAAATTTTAGAATTGTTGCTGTGCAAAAAAGCTGAATTTTCAGGGGCTAGAGCTGGGGCTCAGTGGCAGAGCGCTTGCCTAGCATGTGCGAGGCACTGGGTTCAATTCTCAGCACCACATATGAATAAATGAATAAAATAAAGGTCCTCAACATCTTTTAAAAAAGAGATTTTTTTTTTTTTTAAAGCTGAATTTTCAAAAGCCAAAGGAGCTGGACATATCCCAGCTACTCCTGACACTGAGGCAGGAAAATTACAAGTTCGAGAGGTCAGTCTGTGTAAATAAGTGAGACCCCTCCTTTCAAAAATAAAAAGGGCTGAGGGTGTAGCTCAGTAGTAGAGAGCTTACTTAACATGGGGGAGGCCCTGGGTTCAGGCTGAATACCACCAAAAAAAAAAAAAAAAGAAGAAGAACAGGAAAAATAGTTAATAAAAAATAGTATTGAAAGCAGAATGTGGCTTATATAGATGCCAGGTGCTATAGTGCACTCTTGTAAGCCTACCTATTCGGGAATCTGAGGCAGGAGGATAGAAAGTTCTAGGCCAGTGTTGGCAACATAGTTAGACCCTAATTCAAAAAATAAAACTCTTGGATGCAAGTAATTCCCCTTCCCTAGCCTCCAGAGAAGCTTAGACCATAGGCTCTTTCCAAGCCTGTCCTGACTCTTTTTTCCCCTTTAAATTAGTTTGAGTAGATACTGTTTTTTTTTTTTTTTTTTTTTTTTTTTTTATATTTATTTTTTAGTTCTCCGCGGACACAACATCTTTGTTTGTATATGGTGCTGAGGATCGAACCCGGGCCACACGCATGCCAGGCGAGCGCGCTACCGCTTGAGCCACATCTCCAGCCCCAGATACTGTTTTTTTATTGATATTTTCACAAACTAGCTTTTGGTTTTGTTCACTGTCTAAATTGATTTTCCTCAAATTCATTTCTTTTCTAACTTATTTATGTTTTTGTGCTTTACTCTGGGTTTAATTTGCTCCTTTTTTTTTTTTTTTTTGGTTTTCTGAGGTAGACAGATATTATTGGTAATAGGTTTCTTTACTGTATGTGTTCAGTAGCATAAATGTCACTCTAGGTACTGCTTTTGTGGCATTTCAGGAATTATGTTAATTATTATTTTCACTTCCCCAGTGTCCTTGGATATCCCTCTGCATTTTTTTTCACATCAGTTTTGGAAGGTCATATTGGCATATCATTGAGATCATTGTTTCTTTACACATTTGCATAGTTTTCATGAGCCCCTAAAAGGGTATTTTTCATTTCTGTTGGACCTCATTTTATTGCTTTTACTACTTGTTTGTTTGTATCTTTTTCTTTTTCTTTTTTTTAGTATAAGGGATTGAACTCAGAGGCACTTAACCAGTGAGCCACATCCCCAGCCCTTTTTATTTTCTATTTTGAGACAGGATCTTGCTAGATTGCTCAGGACCTCACCAAGTTTCTGAGGCTGACTTTGAACTTGTGATCCTTCTGCCTCAGCCTCCTGAGTTGCTGGGATTATAGCCACTACACCCTGATATTACCTTTTGATCCTTAGAATTTTCATGTGTCTGCTTGAAATTACCCAGGTATTCTTGCAAATTGGTTAGTGTTTCTGATAGAAACCTCAGCATATTTCCAGGAGCAGTGGTGCACACCTGTGCAGTGTGCTGCACACTTTCTAGCTACATGGAAAGCTGAGGCAAGTAGATGCAAAGTTAGAAGCCAGCCTGGGCACCTTGGTGAGGCACTGTCCCAAAATTTTAAACAGGTTGGGCAGTTGGGCATAGTAGCACATACCTTTGTGTGATCCCAGGGACTTTGGAGACTGACAGGAGGATGGCAAGGGATTCTGGAGGCTGAGACAGGAGGATGTCAAGTTCAAGGCCAGCCTCAACAATTTAGTGAGACCTTGTCTCAAAATAAAATACAAAAGGGGCTGGGGATGTGACTCAGTAGTAAAGGCCCTTGGGTTCAATCTTCAGTTTGCACTCCCTCCCCGACAATAAAGGAGGTGGCTGGGCAGCCTCTGCAACTTACTGACACCTGGCCTTTAAATAAAGTAAAAAGGCCTGGGAATGTAGCTCAGAGAAGTACCCTGGGTTCAATCTGTCACTATGTGCCTAGCATGTGTGATGCCCTGGGGTCAATCCCCAGTAACTGCCCTGCCCCCATACACACGCACCTCACCATATTAGTCTTGTTAGGCTTGTTTTTTTTTTTTTTTTAACTTTTTTTAATATTTATTTTTTAGGTGTAGATGGACACAATACAACACCTTTATTTTTATGTGGTGCTGAGGATTGAACCCGGGTCCCACCCGTGCTAGGCGAGCGCTCTACCGCTGAGCCACAATCTCAGCCCCTTGTTAGGTTTGTTTTAAATTTCTGGTCTAATGGTCCCCAGATCTCTTCTATATCTGAACTTGGTTCTGGAGCTTGTCTTCTCTTCAGACTGTGTTTGGAAAGTCTTTAGTATGCGTCATACATTCTTGTTGAATACTGGACATGCTGTACTTGAGAAAAAGACTGGAGAGCCTCAGGCCTTTAATATGAGGTTTTAGGTTTATCCTTCTCAGTTTAGCCGAGTTATTGTTTTCTTTTTTCTGTGGCATTGGGAATTGAAGCCACAAGTGCTCTACCACTGAGCCACTTCCCCAGCCCTTTTTATTTTTTATTTTGAGACCGTCTTTCTGAGTTGCTCAGGCTGGCCCTGAATTTGTGATTCTCAGTTTCCTGAGTAGCTGGGATTATAGGCGGGAACCACCGTGCCTGGCCTGATGGTGCTATTGCAATGTCAGAGTATAAAATTTCCTGGTTTTGCTTCACCTTTCTCTCCCCTAGTATTGCTAAACTTTGGTAAAGATGTTCTAAAACCTGAAAGATGGGGAAAGAAATGGTAAATTTTTTTTCACTGTATTTCACTATTATTAAAGGGAAATCCTAATGACATACTAGCAAGATTTGAAAACATTCTCAGGGCTTTGGACCCAGGGCCTCCTGAATCCCGGGCAAGTGCTCTACCAATGAGGTACACCCTCAGCCCTAGAGGCACATTAAATAGCTGGGAACACTTTCAGTGGCATGGAGTCCCTCACACAGCCCAGGCCTTACTGCAACTTGGATTTTCACAGGTCTTCTGGTATCTCATGTTTCTTGGTGAGAATAGTTTTTTCAAATTTGTTTTTATTTTAATTTTACATTTTTAGTTGTAGATGGACACAATACTTTTATTTATTTTAATTTCTTTATTTTTGTGTGGGGCTGAGGATCAAATCCCAGTGCCTCACATATGCTAGGCAAGTGCATTACCACCGAGCTACAACCCCAGCCACAAGAATAGATCTTAAGGATGTATTTATTCATTATAACCATATTCTGATCAGTTCTGTGTTTCCTACACAGCTAGGTGATGTACTATATAATGCGGAAATGACAGTCTCTTACAAGGGGTTGATTGCCTTAAATTTTTATTTCATTTCAGTAGAATTCCTCTCATTTATTCAAGGTGAATTGGGGGCCACTATTAGAAGGCAATCAGACATTCATTGACCACAGTGGAAGTGAAGAAGTAAATGTCTGTGTGTTCATGATTCTGCTAAATTTTATAAGAAAGTGAGATTTGGTGTTCTGACAACCCAGTTAAACAGAGAATGTTTGCATGTCATAGGGATTGAGGGCAGATCCACAGTGCTGTCATTCTCACCCACCCTTTTGCACACATGTGGGATGTTTTAGGACTCAGTGGCCTTTGAGGATGTGGCTGTCAAGTTTACCCAGAAGGAGTGGGCTTTGCTGGATTCCTCACAGAAGAAACTCTACCGAGATGTGATGTGGGAAACCTTCAGGAACCTGGTTTTTGTAGGTACGAATCACTTCATTTCTTTTTTCTTTTTAAGTTTTTTTTTGTAGTTGTAGGTGGACAGCATGCCTTTATTTTTATTTGTTTGTTTTTTTTAATGTGGTGCTGAGGATTGAACCCAGTGCCTCATACATGCAAGGCAAGCACTCTGCCCTGAGCTACAGCTCCGGACCTCATTTCTTGATTTCTTGATTTCTTGATTAAGTTAAGAAGAGAGCAAGAGGTTTTTTTGGTGTTTTGTTTGTTTGTTTATTTAGCCGGGGCACACTTTACCTCTCAGCCCTCTTTATTATCATTATTATTATTTTTTGAGACAGGGTCTTACTAAGTTGCTTACAGCCTCTCTAAGTGGCTGAGGCTGGCCTTAAACTTGGAATCCTCCTTCCTTAGCCTTGCATTGCTGGGATCATGGGTGTGTTCCACCCCACCTGGCTAAGAGTTTTTTGATCATCAATTTATCAAGAAAGATTTCTAAGATTTGAAGGGTGGAAAAGGGGTTACTTTGTGTCTGGGTCACAGCTAATTATGATCTAGAACTTCATGATTTTTCAGTAATTTATGATGATTTTTCTGGGTATGAATTTTAGGGAAGAAATGGAGAGACCACAACATTGAAGATGATGACAAAAGTCAGGGAAGAAATCGAAGGTGAGTTACCGTCACAAGAAAAGACAGTCTTCCAGTGCCATAGCACTTCAAAAACAAGCAGGCAAAAGCAGTAAGCCCAGGGTTGGGGCTGTGGTTCAGTGGTAGAGCACTTGCCTAGCAGATGTGAGGCATTGGGTTTGATTTTCAGCACCATATAAAAAATAAACAAATAAAGGCATTGTGTCCATCTATAACTAATACAAATATATTTTTTTAAAAAGTAAGTCTGTTGTGCAGAGACTACTCAGAAAACAGACCAAGTCCGAGTTTGAAATAATTTGAAGGATTTTTATTTCGCCTATTTTGCCAATTATACCTGGCCAGGGACTGAGTCTAACAGAGTCCAAGTGGCTCTCTGAAAGAACAGAATTTTCTGGCCTGTACCTTTGGAATTTAAGAACGAAAACCATGGCTCAGGGACTTTTCTTATCATCATGAAAGCAAGCCAATCACAGAAAATAAAACAGCGGTTAGCAGAACAACTCACACAACTGCATCTTGGGTTTAAGCAGGTGTTAGACAACCGTATCCTGGGTTCAAGCAGGTGGTCAGTGGGAGTAAAACTCTACTTCAAAGTCATATAGGTCACCAAGACAACCATATCCTGGTTCCAGTACAGTTTGTGGGGTCCAAAGTACATAAGACAATATAGTTTTTTTAATTTAGCAGAAAACAGCTTTCATTTTGTTTTCTCAGAAATGGGTCCTGCAGCTGTCTCTTCATGGGAGTAGTAACAGAAAAACTAAGGTGGAGACTAGAACAGCTGAGATGGAGTCCCTGTGGCCGCACCTGTTTGCTCATCTAGCTATACTGACTCCATTCTTGCTACTCCAGCAGGGAGGGAACTGTTACAAGTGCCGGGTAGTTTTACCATGGCAATTGCTTTACATTACCAGTATTAGTAACTTTTTTAAAAAATATTTTTCTTTTTATTCTTTTTTTTTTTAGTTATAGTTGGACCAATACCTTTATTTTATTTTATTTTTATGTGGTGCTCAGAATTGTGAACCTAGGGCCTCGCCACCTGATGAAGAGTTTCTTGATCATCAACTTATCAAGAAAGATTTCCTAGATTTGAAGGGTGGAAGAGGGGTTACTTTGATAAAAATGTTAGTCTGGGTCACAGCTAATCATGCATCTAGAACCTCATAATTATTCAGTAATTTATGATGATTTTTCTGGGTATGAAAAACCCAGAAAATAACCCAGTGCTCTACCACTCAGCCACAACCCCAGCCCAGTATTAGTAACTTATTTATGCTTTCTTAAGACGATAGTTAACTTATGGCCTACACACACATATTTACCTATCATTTTATTTCTGTTATCTTATCAAAATCTTACTTCTGTAGTCTATAATCTATACCTATAATTTATTGATTGTATTGATCAGTTCACACCACAACCAGTCCAGATTATAGTTTATTGTTGTCAGAAAATTTTCACCTAAAATGACTTTGTAAAAATGTCATAGATGTTCAGATGTTCAGAGGCACCATGAGTGTAAACAATGTGGCAAGGCTTTTTTTGTTCACTTCAAAACAGGATTAGGAAACCCCATGGACAAGGATTCCTGTTTTGATGTAGAGGTGGTAGAGTACTTTTCCAGAGCATTACATACATAAGTAATTTTTTTTTTCAGTATTAGAAATTAAACATAGGGACTTGGAGATGCTAGGCAAGCATTGTACCATTGAGCTGCACCCTATCCTTGTTTACTTTCAAATAGTTTAGACAGGGCAGGAAATGGATACTTTCTCTGAAAATGTTGAAATATGAACCTAACAACTGTTAAATATATATATATATATATATAATTATTAATAAAAAAGTAAAATAATATATATATGTGTATGTATTTATATATAATTATTAATAAAAACCTTTGACAATGTGATAATCATTTTTTTGTGAAAGTTATATGGTAAAGAGACCTTGTGGAAAGGAAAGAATGTAATCAAGGTAGAGAACATTTCATCCAGATTTCAAATCTCAGTCTCACCAAGAAACTGTGACTTGTGCAACCCATGTAAATGTAGTATGTGTGGAAAAGTTCACACATCTGTCATTCTTTAATAGGTGTATCCGATCTCATGCTGGGCACAGACCATATGAGTATCAGGAATGTGGAGAGAAGCTATATATATGTAAGAAGTGTGGTAAGAGTTTCATTTGTCGCAAGTTCTTCCGGGCACATGCAAGGACTCATACTGAAAAGAAAGCCTTTGAGTGTAAACAGTGTGGCAAAGCCTATAGTTATCGCCATTGTCTACAGAACCACGAAAGTATTCATACTGGAGAGAAACCGTATAAATGTAAACAGTGTGGCAAAACTTTCAGATTACTCGCTTTTTTTCGAACACATGAAAGAACTCATACTGGAGAGAAACCCTATAAATGTAAAGAATGTGGGAAAGCCTTCCTTTATTATGAGACTTTTCAGGGACACATGTTCGTTCACACTGGAAGGACATCTTTTAAATGTAAGGAATGTGGGAAAGGCTTCGGTAGCATTGGAGCCTATCGGGGACACAGGAACATACACACTGGAGGGAAACGCCACCAGTGTAAGCACTGTGGGAAACACTTCCCATATTATGCAAAGTTTAAAAGACATGAAAGGAGTCACACTGGAGAGAAACCTTATCAATGTAAGCAATGTGGCAAATCCTTCAGTATTTCCATAGACTTTAGATGCCACGAAAAGAGTCATACTACAGAAAAACCCTACAAATGTACAGAATGTGGTAAAGAGTACAAGTATCCACAGAGCTTTCGATTGCATAAGAAAACTCATACTGGAAAGAATCTTCACAAATGCCAGGAATGTGAGAAATCTTTTGTTAGCTTTGCAGCCCTTCAAGTACACAGGAGAACACACACAGGAGAACGACCTTATGAATGTAAGGGATGTGGAAAGGGTTTCCTGACAAAAAGTCAGTGTCGCGTGCATGAAAGAATTCATACTGGAGAGAAACCCTATAAGTGCAAACAGTGTGGGAAAGCATTCAGATACTCCAGCTCCTTTCGGGTACATGAAAGAATCCATAGTGGAGAGAAACCCTATCGGTGTCAACTCTGTGGTAAAGCCTGCAGCAGTTCAAATGGAATTCGAGCCCATGAAAAAACTCACACTAGAGAGAGGCGCCATGAGTGTAAACAATGTGGCAAGGCTTTTGCCAACTCCTATACTCTTCGAGTACATGAAAGAACTCATACTGGAGAGAAACCTTATGAATGTAAGCAATGTGGGAAAACCTTCACTTATTCCAACTGTCTTAAACTGCATAAAAACTCGAGCTGTATAGAAGCCCTCTGAATGTGAATTGTGTGGTACAGTCACTTCAGATGTTGCAGTTATATTTGAGTACACGAGAGAAGTCACACCAGAGAAAAGCCCTGTGGAAGTAAACAACATAGGAAGTCCTTCATTTACTCAAGTGACATTGGAGAACACAAGATATCATGGGACAGAAACCTAGTGCATGTAAGCTGGTGGTAATGGCACATGCCTGAAATTTCAGCCACATGGGAGATTGAAGCAGTGGGATTCCATGTTCACGGCCAGCCTGGGCAATTTAGGGAGACCCTGTCATGAAATAAAATATGGACTGGAAATAGGTTCAGATAGGTATATGGAGCATGTGTAAAGCCTAGGGATTAATCCCCAGTATCCCCCCGCCAACATAAAAGAGTAAAGGAAAACCTTATACATAAAAACAACATGGAATAGCTAAGTACTTCTGGCTTTTTCAGTTGCACAAACAAGTTCATAGTGGAAAGAAACTATGAAATATGAGGAATCTGGGAAATCCATCACACAACCTTTGGAAGACACTTGAGTATGTGTATTAGAAATATTTTAAGTGTGAAGAATGTTGGAAATTTTTCAGTCATCATGGTTTTATTATTTTTCTTCTCAGGACTGGGATTGTCTACCACTATCTCCAGCCTTTTTAAAAAATTAAAATTTGGGGATGGTGTCACTGTGTTGCCCAGGCTGATGTTGCATTTCTGATTGTCTCGCCTCAGCCTCCTGAGTAGCTGGAGCTACAGGTGTGCACCATCATACCTAGCTAAAAGTTTTACAATTGCTTTCAGTCATTTGGCAAGTCCATCTGGACAAAAGTGCAGTAAATGAATTATGGAAAGCCTAATGCAAATCATTTCATCATATAATCTTCAGAAAGTTCACAGCATGGTTAGTAACATAAATGTTTTAAATATTCTATCTTTATTTGTGGGCATTTTTTAAAGTAGCTTTTTGTTGTTGATGTACCTTTATTTTTTATTTATTTATATGTGGTACTGAAGATCAAATCCAATGCCTCACACATGCTAGGCAAGTGCTTTGCCACTGAGCTACAGCCCCAGCCCCAGGCTCATTCTTTTTACCATGTTTAATTATTAAAATCTGCCAGAAACAAGAAAGTAATGTTATCAAGGCTTTGAAAGCATGATTTGATATAGTGTTGTCTTCAATTTCCTAGTCATATCTTTAGCTTAACCGTCACTAGAGACCTGCGGATTCTTTAAGTGGGGTCATGAATATTTGTAGAACATCAGGGTGGGTGCTCCAGTTTCCTGTGCCCTAGAATAGTTTGTCATGTGCCCAGTTTGCATGAAAGAAATGCAGCCTCCCTGCCACATGTTGATGTACCCAGGAAGGGTACTTGCAAAATTCATCATCCAGTGGTGCCTATAGAATGGGCCAGATGTTTTTATATTTGGGCACATCCTGGTGTATAGCTTTATACTTTTGGGCTGTGGCCTCACCATCACAAATGACAATTTGGAGAATTGTATCCATCACCAAAATGGATACAGTTTTCTGTCAGCTGTAATGCTGCTGTCCTAGAGCACTGACTCTGGAGGCATATGGAGTAGAGGGTGGGGCCTGGGTCAGATTCTACCAGGTGGAATGCTTTCTAAATAGAACTTGTACATTCTACCCTTGAACTCTTTTTTTTTAAGTGAATCATCTGCAATTATGCAAGTCC